TAATCACTACTAATTAATCGATCAACTACTCACAAGGTTAATATAATATGTTGTCAACATTTAATATATCAGTTATCTATCCCCTAATTGTTAATTACAAAAAAATGTATTAATATATATACAATATCACCCCTAAAAAAATGTCCATAGTTGAATCATAAGAAATCACCCCTAAAAATGTCTATTGTGTAAATTAAAATCAATGTATCATTAAGGATTTTATAGCCATCAATTTTGCAAAAATCGATGTAAATACTCTGTATAACAAGCGTTTTTTCTACTATTAAATCATTTCCGTGTAAATTAAAATCGATGTATCATTAGGGAATTTTTTATTTACAAAAAAATGCCATCAATTTTACAAAAATCGATGTAAATACTCTGTATAACAAGTGTTTTTTCCACCATTAAATCATTTTTCGAAGTTAGTACATTCTACAATGCATCCTAATTAAATAGATGACCCCACAATCAACAAGGATGTCCTCATACGCCAAACTCATGTTGCCATTATAACGCAACTCATCAAGTACACATGACCAAAACTTATAAAAAAAATCCACCATCAAACACAAATTTTGANACTAAAAAAAAAAAAAAAACATAGTCCAATAAATCATCCCAATTTACTATCGTGTGCTCATGAAAATGGCGGAGACCCTGCCGGAGGAATGCCTGTGCCACGTCATCTCGTTTACTTCTCCAGCCGACACGTGTCGTTTGGCGGCGGCTTCGCCGGCCTTCCGTGGAGCGGCCGATTCTGACCTCACGTGGGAGAAATTTTTGCCGCTCGATTATCGTGAGATTTTGTCAAGATCGGTTATTCCGGTTCAGTTCTCGTCCAAGAAGGATTTGTTTCGCCAGCTTTCGTCAGCTCCGGTGCTCCTCGACGGGGGCAAAAAGGTAATTTTACGAATCGATTGTAAGTCGTACTATGAGGCTTAGGATTATGGAAATCGGTAGATTTTCTGTTAGTCGAAGTATGTTACAATTTAATTTTGAATTTTACTAATGTAACTAAAACCTTTTCTTTTTTAATTATTTAGTTTTGTAATATTTTTTACTGGACAATATTTATATAGTTTAGGAAATGATGTGGACGATATAAAATGTCACGATTCTTTTCGTATCACATGATTAAGGTTTGATATTCGTACAGATGGAAAGCCGTTCACTATACAGTAAATTCAAAAATTGATATAAAATTAAATTTAATTTTCTTATGCATATTGCATAATATGCAGACATTTGTAATAGATAAAAGCACAAACAAGAAATGCTACATGTTGAGTGCAAGGGAACTATCAATCGCTTGGTCAAGCAATTACATGTGCTGGTCGTGGAAACCCCTTCTCAACTCAAGGTAAATTTTCTCTAAATTAATTGATTCAAGGCATGAGTAGAGCTGTAAACGAGTCAAACTGAACTCGGGCTCATTTATCAATTCGTTAATTAAAGAGTTGAGCTCAACTCGGCTCGGTAAAGACTCATCATAATATTCAAGTTCAAGTTCGAGCTGAGTCAAGATCGACTTATTAACTAAACAAGCTGATAAACAAGCCCGAGCTCGACTCACTTGTCAATACTAATTAACGAACCGAACTCGAATCTTAATGAGCTAAGCTAATCTAAAAAAAGGAATCTTAACGACTCCCTTTTTTCGAGCCTGACGAGACGCTTTCGACTCGATTTTTTAACTAAATACGCTTTTAAATGAGTTTGACTAGCTCATTTATCAAACACGATAACTAAACGGAGTTGAACTCATAAACGACTTATTTCATTTAACAAGGCATTAGGTAAAAATCTTCTAATACAAAAAATATCCGTCTCAAAAATTTCAAATACCCCTTGAAATTAAAATTTTTTCCCTAATCCTCTAAGTCTTTTTTTGTCTTTTTCCTTTTTGTCATTAAATTGACACACAACCTATCTTTTGTAACTAATCCTTTATCCAACTTGGTTCATCTACACTTTCAATTGAAGCCAGATATTTCTTTTAATAATAGTAATAATTATAAAGAAAAAAAAAATTGGCTACATTTTCAGGTTTTCGGAGGCGGCGGAGCTGATCATGGTATGTTGGCTGGAAATACACGGAAGAATAAACACGACAATGTTGTCTCCGAAGACAACCTATGGAGTCTACATTGTTATTCAACTAATGAACCGTGCGTTTGGACTGGATAAATTACCGGCCGAAGTATCATTACAGCTCGACAACTACAAAACGAAAAACACAATTTATTTAAAACGGGAGGAACACAAAGAAGACGTTCAAGGAGTAGAGCCTCGAGTCGTGAAAGAAAACGATGTGGTTCGCGAACGTGGGGACACGTGGTTGGAGGTCGAGTTAGGAGAATTCTACTATGCCGATGACCGGAATAAGGAGGTGAGGGTGTGGTTGAGAGAAACTAAAGGGGTGCATCTAAAAGGAGGACTTGTTGTTGAAGGCATTGAGGTTAGGCCCAAACATTAATGAATGGGACAATGTGGGCTGTATAACCAGAATTTTGGGCTAAAATTCATGTGGTATCCCTTTGAGAAATTTACCAATAGAAGACCTACTGATTTTGATTTTGGGTGCGAAAATGTAAGGAGATAATATTCGATGAGTAGTAAAAAAATAAATAAATAAATAAATATGATAATAATAATAATAATAATAATAATAATAATAATAATAATAATAATAATAATAATAATATCCGATGAGTAGTAGCAATGGCAATTTTTAGGAGTTCGATTGGATCTAGTCTATTGAGAAATTAAAATGAAAAAAAGTATTGCATTATCTTTCCCAAAATTGCAGTATTAGGGTGTTGATTTTTTATTTTTTTTTCAATAGTTGAAGGTAAGTAGTGTAATCAATTATGTTTGTTGCTCTTTCTTTGTTTTCAATGATATTTAATACTTACAAAATATCTCTTCTTTAAATCATTTTTTATGTCTATATACATGCCTAAATCCTATGCCCCCTTCATTATGACACCAATTAATACTATATCTATACTTATATAATAAGGTGTACTATTTACGAAATTTAGTAACTTTTCTTATACTTATATAATAAGGTGTACTATTTACGAAATTTAGTAAGTTGAAAAGTCAATGCAATAAATGCATTATTATTTTGAGCAACATAATATAATATCATATCTATACTTATATAAAAGGAGATTCTATTTACTACATCTACTATCCAGAAAAGTCAACTGCATTAAATGTCATTACTATTTTGGTATTATAATATTTTACTAGTGCGTACCCCGTGCGATGCACGAGTAAACAATATTAAATAACAATTATAAATGGGTTTTGAGTTCGAGTCACGTAAGTGAGGAATCACTATTGATACTTTTTTTAAAGAGAATTATGATGTCACGTGTGAAAATTTGAGTACGCAAGGTTTCAAAAATTATTATTATTATTATTACACTGAGTAATCCGTGCTATGCACGGCTATAATAATTTATGGAATTTATATATTTATTTATTTTTATATAGAAAAGCCTGTCTATTTTATTTTAAAAAAAAATTGAAGCTCAATTATGTTCCACAATATAATGTACTCAACTAAACTGGTCGGTTCAAACTTAACGGGCCAATAACATATTATTGAATTGACCCAAATAAAGCCCAACCATAAAAGCAGACCTAATCATTAAGTGCGACCCAACATCTCAACCCGTTATGGCTTAAAAGAATGGATCAGACGGTCTGAATTAGTCAATTGATATCTAACGATCAGAAATCAAAGATGTCAACTAAAAAAGTTACAAATATCCAAATTATTAGGGTTATGCCATTACTTCTCCTCCTCTTACCGCTTTCCTTCTCTATTCTCTCTCTCATATCACTTATAGAAACTTAAAATATTCTTTCAAATTTTCACAAAAATGCTCTATTTTTTAAACAATCAATCACATCTATTACGAGTCGATTTCTTATGTTAGATAGATCGATATTATATCTTGTCTTTATGTTTAGAAAGATGCCTCTATTATTTTATTTCTTTTGATTGTCATATTCTTTTTTATGTTCAAAGATTTTATATTTGTTTTTTGGTCGAAACCGATGAAAAACTGACTCTGTTATTACTATTTCGACCATTTCAAAAGCTTTTCTTTTGAATATCGAGACTTATGTAATGTGTTGTTCAATTATTTTGATTCATATTGCTTTTTTCTTTTTTGTAGATTTTAGAAATTTCGTAAGTTTAATGGACAGATCTGGAATAATTTTTCAATTTTCGGTCAAAATCCGAATTTTATTCAGTCGAAAAAAAATGAATACCGGGAATGAAGTCTCATTTTCTATTTGAATGTCTATTTGTTTTAAATGTTACAAATCTTAGTCGGTTATATAAATTTTGACTGTATTTTGAAATTTAATTTAAAATAAGGGTCTTAATCTCTAAAAATGTGTTCAAATCTTTTGTGATTGAACAAATCCCACATTTAAGGGCAGCATTCAATGCTGCCCTATTTTTTTGTTTGAAAAAAAAAAACGTTGCCAAAAGTGGCATGTAATTAATGCAGATAGAATTTTGACCAAAATCTGACTTACTGTTTTTGAAAAATGTTAATTCTTATTATATATATATATATATAAATTTATTTAATTGATTTATTTATTTGTTTTATTTTAAAAAGGTAAGTATAATAAAAAGATTTTAATAATAAAAAAATCAAATACCAATTAAAAATGTACACTTTGACTTATTTGATTATATTTGGTATTTGATTATACCAAATATATTCCTATTTAGTATATACATTAAATACTTACTAAAGTATTTATTTGTTTTATTTGTCAAAGTTAAGTATAGATTTGTTTATATTATCAAATCATAAAAAAATATTAAATCCATATTGTAAAAAAAAAAATGAAAAATCATATAATTTTATAATAATTCTACTACACTATTTAACAATATTCTTTTTTTATTATATAATAAAATAATAATTAAATATTATATGGTGAACAACAATAAGTAAAACTGTTACTTTCTCTTATATCAAGGGATAAATTTATATGCTAAAATTAAATTTTTATTAGTATAAATGTTTTAGTGAGATAATATATTAATTATTTTACAAGCCAGCCCTAACATGCTCATATTTAATGTTTTAAAAGATGTAGAAAAAAACTTATAATAACTCTATTGTTTTTTAGACTTAAACGTTGATTAAAAGAGGTAAAAATTCCTAATTTTTTAGACTTAAACGTTGATTAACACCATAGATTTAGAGTCTATATTTAGTAAAATTCCTAATTGTAATAAAAAAAATTAATTTTTGCTATATTTTAGAATATCTTTAAATTCATTATAAAAGAAAAAAGAAAAAAAAACTACAATGAAAAAAGCAAGTCAGTCATATATCGATTTGTTGTATTCCTCAAATCACAATCACAATTTGACTACAATGAAAGGAAACTCATTGATTAAAATATTATTCTGTCATTAGTCTTAATGTACTAGAGACTTTAAGATTCCACTTGAATATTATAAAACGTTTATTGAACATTGTACAATTTTCTTGCGTATTATAAACTTTTATTGAATATTGCATCTTATAATATAATATTCTCCAAATAAATATATCCCATGCTTCGCACGGGTCACGTACTATATATATCCCGTACATTTTTCTTTATTCATGTATATAATTATAAGCCTGGATAAATAGCCTTAAAATTGTGCACCACGTGCATCGCACGGGCTCTGTACTAGTAAGTATTTACTAGTTGACTCTATTTCCTAAATTTAGTTTTCATTATACTTGGGTTAGCAATGGTGAATTCGCACAAAACCACACCGAATTGGAAAACTAAAAAAAAAAAAAGAAAAAAGCTAATTTTATTTTAGTTGCAATTAGAGCTAAGCACGGGACTCGGAGATTACTGAACCGTTCTGAAAACCGCCGAATTCATTCCGAATCGAAAAATATTCATTGACCGTTTGACTTTATTCGAACCGAGCCATACTGATAAAATATGGTATCATTCTGGAGATTAATAAAATATCCCAATTCATCTTATGTTTTCTTTTCATCTTTGTACATATTTGTATTTAAGTTGAATTGCAAATAAAGTCAATATACATTAGGTCTATGTTCATAAACTATCATATATTATATTTCGAATTGAATTAAAAAAATTCTCCACTGTTGAATGTTAATAAAATTAAATGATTGAAAAAATAATTATTTTATTTTCTTAGTGCATGTGTGGCATTAGTTTGAAAATAAATTAAATTAATATACTTTTCTTATCACAAATTTTGGTAACCAAAGTGTCAAATTTAATTAAAAAAATCATTAATTATAAATCAAATTCAAATTTAGAATGTTTTGAAACCGGTCTAAATTTGGAGAGAAATATTTATTTAAAGATGATAAAATTTTAAATAAAAATAAATTGATAGATATTTTTATCATAATATCTATTAGTTAATAATACTTTTCTTACACATGTATTGATGAAAAATTTACAACTAAATTGAAAATATGTCGTATGGAATTGTGGTTTGTGAATTATGGAATTTGTATTTGGAATTATGAGATATGAACTCTTATGTGTCTTAGTAATATTTAATCTACAATGAAATTTTTTCTGTTTTAAAAATATTATTTAAAATATTTAATATGATGAAGTATTGAATGTTGAATTTTTCAAAGTACATAAAAATTAAAATATAGCTAGGTAGTCATTCAAAATAATAATAATAATAATAATAATAAGGAATCTCCAGAGATACTGAACCGAATCGAACCGAACCAAACCGAATCGAATCGTTCCGATAGTCCCGAATATCGAACCGAACCGAAAAATGAAAATCTCCGAATCGAACCGTCCCGATTTTTTGATACTGTTTCGGAAATTTAATTTAGTGATCTCCGAATTTTAGTACGGTTCTTGAGATTTGTCCATCTCCGAACCGAAACGACCCATTTGCAATATATTCTTATGATCCCAATAGAAACTCCTCCACCGTTATAGAATCTTCGAGCGTTGACTCACACAAATTTAGTCCATCAACTCACCCGACGTGCACCCATTTGACCCCACTCACCAAAAACTCTCCGAGCGCACGGGACCTATATGTGGGACCCAATATCCACGTGTCAGCCCCACAGTTGTTGCGCGCACTCAACGCCTGCCACCATTTCGACTGGTTTTTTCTTTTGTTCTGGTTTGTTTTTTTCTGCTTTTCTGGAGGAACCCATTTTGCAATTATCGGGCTTCCATTATCTAAGCTCTAAATTCTTCNGTAATTTTTATCGGGCATCCATTATCTTAGCTCTAAATCCTTCGAATAACCCCAGAAAAAAGATATAACTTTTAGGGGGGAAAAAAAATACTTAAATGTCTGTTTCAGAGGGCATATCCTCGGCAAGGAGCCTGAGCGAGGTCTCCGAGGATGGTACTGTGAGGTTCGGTATCGATCTTGTGGCTGCTGCCAGAAGAAATCTTGGGTTTTTGAGACACGTGTCCGATTCCAGCTGGCTCCACCACGAATCCGCCATTCTCGAAGCAACTAGAAGGTGTTTATAGCTAATTTGTTTGTTTAGAGCTGTTTTGCGTAGTTTAATTAAGGTTTGGTTGTGTTAATTCG